AATAGTGATAAAAAATAATTTATGAAAACATATCACTACTCGTTAAGACTGTTTGAGGGCTAACACGACATTCACGAGCGCCTCCTTGGCCTCCGAGTCCTTAAAACTCTTTATTTGTTGCACAGCTGTGTCCGAGTAGTGGTCTATCAGTGACTGAGTCTTCTTAATGGCATCACATCCAGAGGTCAAGTCTTTGATTATCTATAGTTTGCAAAATAAAAAATCAATTTTATTTCAATATTGTGATTATAATGAGTGCATTTTACTGATCTAGACCTGGATTATTTAGTGCATTATTAAATCATATATTTAATATTATAATAAAGAGAAAATAATTATGAATTAGTAGTTTTAATAATACCATTACAAAACATCATTTTTATCAAAGTTAGACTGGTTACTAATTAAATTAAGAACTGGTATTATTTGGGTCGGTATGTTAGGCTTTACAGCAATTATAGGAAGTGAAAGCACAGGTAGCATGAAGTGAAATGATCTCTCTCTCTCTCTCTCTCTCTCTCTCTCTCTCTCACTCACTCTAACTTTTTAAGAGTTTATGACCTGATTCTTGTGCCACAAAAATCTTCATTCATTAAAAGCTGAAGTATTTTAACGGATTACAAGAGTTTTCGCTTTCATTTCTAGTGACCTTTTCTTACTTTCAATATTCAAATCAAACAAAAAATCTCAAATTCAAAATAAAGGGAAATAAGTGCTGAATACATGAGAAAATGTGTGCCGATTAACATTGATTTTGATTTACAAGTTACTCATAAATCCGGGCCTTAATGTAATGAATATTTTTAATTTATAATTCAAACTAAATGTCAAAACTCGTAAAATAATTTTGATTTGTGAACTAAAACTTTTTAAACTTAAGTTCTAAGATAACTAGTTTTCAATTATTATTTCAAATAAATTACTAATCTTAATCTAATACCTCGTTTCTATTATCCTAAATTTGCTAAAAACTATACATATATACTCAATATATATATATACTGTATATACATGAGAATATATATGAGATACGGAAATCGTAGAAAATGTGGACAGTTGGTTTATTTTCAAATACACTTACATTATCAATAAACTGTCTCCGGTTATCACTCGAGTCCATCTCTTGGATGAGCTCCGGATGGGAACTCATATGCAATAGTATTGGCAGAGAGTATACCGCAGTATCGATGGTGCCATCCGATCGGCGATTATCTAATCTGCGGTTAAACTGATCCAACTCTTCAGCCACAGCCCACGCAAAGGCAACCGAATTGCCGAACCTATAGACCCTGTCCTCCAGTTGCTCAGCGGTGCCGCCACTCGTCACGTGACACATAGATTTGCATCCCTGAGCTAAAAGGCTACCGCTTCTCAATGTACACGCGTTCACCCAATTTTCCAACACGTGTGACCAGTCATTTCCTGTGTCCACGAGCTCCCGGAGCTTAAGACACAGATACTCGCCCTCAACAAAGTCCCGGAGCGCTCGACTCATCCATTCTGTCACTCGACTGTTGCCTAATTTGACTAAATTCTTGGTCGCCATCGAGAATAGGAGGTTCCCCTTAAGTACAGCCATACGGTTGCCTTTTAATAGGCTGTCCACAGAGTTGGAACTACTGTGTTGAGGAGTATCGGCGCCTACCTGCCGGTGCGGCGATATACCGAGCGTATGATATACACACCCGCCATATATTAATTCAATAGTTTCGGCTAAAAGTAGTTGTTTTGTGAGCGAAGAACCGGTAGGAGAACCGGTAGGTTCGGGCGAATTCAGGTTAAACTTGAACTGCGGGACAGTTTCATTGAGCGCCTGTAGCTCAGAGGACACCACTTTCGCTAATAGTAGGGTCAGTAATGCGCGACTTTTGTAGTTGACCTCAATCTCAGGATCCAGTTTTCTATGGGAATGGGAGGGAATGGGAACATAAAGTAATATTATACAATACAAGTACTGTATGGGCCATAAAAGCTGTCAAATGACTGAATAGTAAAATAAAAAATAAAAGTTTTATTAACTTTTTAAATAGCAATTTAAATGATTGATTAAATAATAAAATAATTTCTTATTAGTCACTCATGTATTGAAATATACATTAATTTTAATTACTATTGAATATCAAGTTCACTAAATAGTGTACTAAATATATATTAGTTATACCTAAATTGTACACAATTGAAAGGCTAATACCAAACTAGATATTCAAAAATATTATGAATTAAATGTAAAATTAAACTAAGTTTTAGTATACCTTTCGGCTGTGAGCACCGGGTGTTCGCTATTATGCCGCACCAGTAGCTTATCGTTCATAAGACTTTGCATTTTCTCATTCAACGCCATTTGTTTAATACATAAATCTTTGGTGGAATATCCCAAACATAGCTCAGCTTTAGTGATAGCGTCGGACATGGATCTGATGGACAGTTGCCTTTTGGTCGACACATTTGACATCAGGTTATGAATTCTTGGCGTTAATATGCGGACAATGTTTCGGTGATAATTCATGTCTATTGCGGTCTTAAGACTTGATAAAACTGCAAAATATGTTAAATTAGTTTATTATATAACTTAAGTTGTGGGCGACTTATATAAGCAAATGAACCCAAAAACTGATACATATTTTTATAACTATTTATATAAGTTAACAGTAAATAAAAAGTAAAAAAGTTAACACAAAAATAGTTTAAATTATAACTTACCTTAACATTAAGTCTTGTGATTATAATATGAAATGAATAAAACACAAAATGAGAGACAAAACAAAACAAAAAAACTTTTCGAGAGATTTGTTTTTACAGTAAAAATGATTTCACATTTGATTTTTCAGAGCCATTAGTGCCTTCAAAATGAGGCCAAAGGAATAGTTAGTGAAAGTTCATGAATAGGTCTCTCTCTCTCTCTCTCTCTCTCTCTCTCTCTCTCTGACATAACGGTGCGCTTATCTATCATATACGCTATATGTTACACAACAGCTGTGTATTACGCATATGGAAAAGCCCTGTCCAATGGCAGCACAGGTAGTTTTTGTTGTAACTGTATGTATGGTACCTGTCGATAGGCACAAACAAATGGTGTGCAATTTGTTGGCCCCAAACATTTGGGTGTTTCGGTTCACTTCATAGATCTCTTATTATTGTATTTAAAAATAGTATAAACTTTTTATGGCAATTATACACAATAAGAAAATATTTTTTATTTTTTATTTGAGTAAACTTTTTATCAAGCTATTGCTTAAAACTAGAATATTTTGAACAAAGTCTATAAAATTTTTCAAGAATTAAAAATAGATTATCAATTATACGACAATTTACACAAATAATTCAATATTTTATATAAAGTAAGTTATATTAATAATTTATTTATATAACTAATTACAAAATTGATGTCAAAATATTGAATTAATTAATTTGTTAAATTAGCTAGTAAGTTTAAAAATATTATATTGTCTAAAAATAGATACTGAATATAATTGAAAACTTTATGCTCTATTGATTAAACTATTAATTTATTCAATTTATAGATACTGCTTTGTTAAATAGTTATGAAACATAAGTTATAATAATGGTGATTACTAAATGGCATTATTTAAAAACTTTGGTACTAATAAATATAAACTAAATTATATAGTTAAATAAATGAATTAATAAATAAATAAATGAGTGAGTGAGAGAGAGAAATCTATTAATTAAATTAATTACCATGATATATGCACAGGTATGTTAATTTTAAAATCACACTAATAATGGGAAACAGAGAGAGAGAGAGAGAGAGAGAGAGAAATCTATTAATTAAATTAATTACCATGATATGTGGTACAGTGTCGAACGCATTGATACTCAATATTAAATTATAATAACTTATAGTAGTCTATTACAGTATTGTCATTGTATTAACTTATAATAGCAGAAATCTTGATTTAATTGTATATTGATTTCTATCATAACTAATCACAAATATATAACAAATTTAAATTCAAAATAAATTATTAAATCACAAATAAATTCATAAAAATATCATCAAAAATAAGCACTACTTGTATCGTTAAACATTTTGCTAATTATAACCCAAATGTGATAGGTATAATATATCGTATCTTATCAATTTACAGCTGCAATGTATTAACATGTTCAAGGTTCAAAATTTACCGATTGCATAAAATTTTAGTAGTGGTAGCGTACAGTGTCATTTAACACATAAATGTTATCTCATATTAAAATTTTTAAATATTTTATTAATACAGGTATTAACAATATTTCACAAAATATTAATGATATATAGTACATGCACAGGTATGTTAATTTTAAAATCACACTAATAATGGGAAACAGAGGGCTGGGATTGCGGTTTATAACACATGTATGTGTTTACAATTTATTTATTTATTTGGAAAATTATTATTTGATTATAATTCATTATAGATAACACAAACACATTGTTTTATGGGTTTATAGTATATTACACTGGAATTTGACAAAATTCTGTAATTTTATGTTTTAATAATTAACGTTATATTTAGATTTGATATCAATTCGTTAAAGTTTGTTATATTAATTACATTAAATTATAAATCTTTAAAAATCAAATAGTCTATTATTAGTAATTCAAATGTATATTTACAAAATTAATAAAGTCAAATTTAAACATATACAGTTTCTTATATTTTAATATCAATTTTAATTTAATTATTGGATTAAGCGTCTAGTCTCTGATATTTTGTTAATGAAAATGCATTACCCGTACTGTATTACAGTACTGTACATAAACTTCTATATATTCTTACAGTTATTAGTTAATTTTAAACAAAATAACCATATATTTAAAAGTCATTGTCAAAATAAAAACGCCAAATATAATTGAATTGAATTATATACCAATGGGGTCGTTTAACATGTATATACAGCTAAATAGCTTGGTAAAAACAGAAAATTAATTTCAATTGACTACTCGTTCTTTGTCATTACAGTACTAATATATTAGTGTGAATGTATTTATGGGACATTTACTCAAATTTTTCCATGTGGTACATATCACCAAGCAACTTTTCGACCGGAATCTCGCCAATTGTCTCCTTAAAGAATATTCTCTCGACATTATTGGCTGAAATAGCGCGCAAACACGGCATCAGCAAAAGTAGTCGACCGAATCGGGTGGGCTGTCGGGGGTATTTGTGGCGCACGTAGTCGCCTAATATGCACTGAGCCTGGTCCTGTAACATCTCCACCGGTTGTACGTCACACAGACCTATTGTTTCTGTGAAATCAATGACAAATTCAATTCTAATGAGAATATTCTGTAATAAGACATAAACTCAAACTTTTAATAAGAATATTCTGGAATTATGTGATATTATATAAATATATTGAACACAAACTTTAATTAAATGAGTTTGGCCATTTATTATATAATATCACCAATCATTGTAATATACCTGGCTTAAACAATACGATAGCCTTGAGACAACTGCATTCGGTTCCGTCGGGTGATAATTGTCTGAATCTTCTCATAATCTCCTGAATGTATTGAATGTCTGCCGACATATTGGGACAGTCGGTGGCCTTGAAGTTAGTGATGGCACGGGTCAGGTATGCGGGCGCACCGGGAAGGGGTGATACGAGGTCGAGGGTCACCGACCACTGCGCCATATTCAACAAAAATAGGTCTTTCCACGAGTCCTCCAATAGTGTTATCTATTTATTTATATTTATTAATATTTAAAAATAAATATTAAGAGTACGAACCTGGTCATTTTTAGAGAGAGTCCTATATGTAGGCAAACACTTAACCCAACGGATAACCATAAACAGTAGGCGCGCCGTAACCTCGTGCACGGAATCCCAGGCCCCACCACTGGTCAACGATAACTGGGATAACGGTTTGGGGAACGGTATACCGTTAAACACCTGATTCCTAGAAATAGACTTCTGCTCGCCATCCGGGGTACGGGAGCCGTTAGAGGCCGACCCACTACTGGTAGGTGTGTTTGACTGAGATGAGGACTGAGTCGGAGGTACCGGTGCTGTCGTAAACAAGTTGCCGGTGCTGGTGGACAGGAACGGCGGCAAAAACAATGTCTGCGGGGCCGACATCTCGTCAAAGAGTCGCGACATTCCAAAGGGAATGGAGTTAGAGATACCGGCGCCGGCGTGCAAGTGACCAAATAGAGCGCCCGCACCTCCCGTTCCGCTGCGAATACTGTTCCAAATGAGTTCCTGTGACTTCTCAGCGTTCAGTAGCATCTGTAGCAGACCCGGAGGCGCGGCGGCACCGGGAGCTCCCGCGGGGCTACTGTCGTAGAAGGGACTGTTAGCACCTATACTACAGCCCTGAGCGTCTGGTTTGTTAGTCGTAAACAAACCGCTTAACAGATCCCCGGGTCGATCAGCACCGGGCGTTTGGCTCGATATAAGGGGCGGTATTTTGCTCATTATATGGTGGTGTGTGTGCGCACCGGTAGCTCCCGGTGACTGATGGGCTCCCGTATGGTGGGGGCTGTTGAGGTGGGAGTGTTGTTGTTGGTGGTGGTGACGCTCCAAAGCGTTTATGGCTTTAGTGAACGGCGATTGCGAGGCCAGTGCGGCCGTTAGGGGGCTGTGATGGTGGTGCTGGTGGTGGTGAGCGTGCGAGTGGAGCACACCTTTCAGATCGTGCGAGTGGTCCCTGTATTTGGGTTTTCGAGGGCCCCTCTCGTGTTGGACCGCTGTTTCACAAATGAAATCATTGTTTAGATTTTATATACGATTAGAACATTATATGTAATAATGATTTGCTAAATATATAATAATTATAATGTATTTTTTAATTTTTATCAAGCACATTTTTATTACCAATATTTTTAAAATTAAGTTGTCAAATTGTAGTTTTGTATTAAATAATCATCTGATAAACTTGTTTAAGTTTAATATTATTAGTCTAAGTACTAAGTTAATTAAAATATCAATATTATAATATTTTAATAAAAATATTTTGGTGTTAAAATAAATAAATGTTAAAATTGATTTTAAATATAACATATAAAAAGTTTATTTTAATATAGATCGTGAATGTAGTCGTGTAGGGGAATGGGATGTATAACAGTGTGTAAAAAGCCGTGTTTGAATGGCTTATTGTTGAGGCACTGGAGCTAAAAAAGAGATGCCGACGCCTATAGTATGGATTTATGGCGTGCGCTGCCGTTGAGTGGCATTTAGGGCGCACTTCTCATTGGCTTTTCGCTCATAGCGTATGAGAAAAGCACTCATAGAGTGAATGCTTTCATTGAGAAATCGATTGGCTTTCCGTTTAGAGTGTATTCAATGCGTTCACTGTTTGCCGAAACCATTCAAATCCATTTCCATTTCATATTAATAAAGAGATATTTAAAACATTTTGAACATTATTTTTGAACACTTGAATGTCGTATATGTTTATGTCATTAAATCATCGAGAAATCACTTTTAAACGTCAATTTTTGGCATTTGTTTTATAATAATATATACGCTTAGAAAGCCATAATTTTTTCATTGGAAATATACCGAATATTTATGTGTTATAAATGGTGTATAAATCTAATGTAATCCAAATAGCGTTCGCACTGTTTCTAAGCAACAAATCTTGAATAAGTGTTTTTACTTTTCTAGATGTAAAAAGTCTTCTCTATATAATGTGTGATAATTTAAGTGCAGATTTAGATGCAGAGAGAGAGAGAGAGAGAGAGAGAGAGACTGTGACTGCCTCTCACTTTCTCGCAGCGATTGACACGAAAAATCATTGCAACCGATCATAACATAACATATATTTGATATAAAATTGAGAACTTATAGGATTAAGTGTTAGCCTAACTGTTACTCAAACCATTTATTAGTGTAAATACAAGTGTAGAGGGCCTGGAGTGTGAGCCAAGTGCTACTTAACCAGCTATAGATAGATAAGTAGAGAGAAAGCAAAAGGCGAGCCCAGAGTTAACCGTATATACGATATACACGTATTGGACAAACATTGAGACATAAAAAGCAAATAAATTGAATACATTTTTGTGCGATTACTGAGCGTATAATACATCAAATAGAGTACAGTATATCCGAGTTCATGGTATCTGATAGGACTAACCGTGCGATACTAGACATACTGTGTGTATTGGTACTAGTGATGAGCCATCGGCCAACAAATCTGAAAGCCTGTGCCCTCTCATCCGTAATCTCATGTTTCTCTCTCTCTCTCTCTCTCTCTCTCTCTCTCTCTCTCTCCTCTGTATCGATGTTTGAAATACATGTGATGTTTGGATGCAATCCCTGTGCATAAAACCATAGCTAACTGAATGGCTTAACGGCGCCCAAACATACAGCAAATACATATATTCTGTATATAGATGTTTGGAGAGAATATTATTGCAACTTATGTTACAATTCCCATACATGCCATCCCTATCTCATCCTCCAGTCTCTCTCTCTCTCTCTCTCTCTCTCTCTCTCGTACTCAAAAACCTTTGTGTTATCATATGAGGGCTTTTCAGTCAATTGTATTTCGCTTTTCATATAATGCATACACAGAGTGAATGCACAGAAAATCTTTTGTCTATCAAAACATCAAAATGTTATGTATGTATAAAAAGGGCATCAATTTTGTTGAGTAATTGCGGATAACATACGAATAATAGTCTTTTGTGTCATATGTTTGAAATTGTTTAGTCACAAAACTTCTCGTAATTTTACATTCGTTTGTAAAATTGCTTTTTGTATTATAAATGATAAGATGTTTAACTATGAACTCATTTTTCAAATTTATAATATCTTTAATTTATTATTTATGGAATATTCGTTGATATCCCAGTATTTGTTATTCAAATGAATTTTTGTTTTGAAAAGTTATTTTCTAAACATTTCATATGACTACAATTTATAAATAAAATATTTTTAAAATTTAGATATAATTCAGTTATCATAAAATCAATAATTATTCTCAAAATTGTGTTTTGAAAATATATTTAAAGTCCAATAAAGTAGTAAATAATGGCAAACTTTTAACCAGATATTTTAAGAATATTACCATAAAATGTGTTTATTTTAATAAAAATCCCCTAATTTGTAAAATACATAATGTCAAACTTTTCCTATTAAATTGTTTTTAAAGTGTTAACACAATAAAAATACTTTTTTAGACACCACTTTCAATTGTACACTACTTTCAAACTGATCACATAAAACAACAAAAATAAAATTCCCAGTTTATAGTACAGTATTACATTATCTACTTTCAAATGGCATTCACTATAAAGTAGATGAAAAAAGCTCTTTTTTAAGTGAAAATTATTTTCACCACTATTTTCATACCACAAGTCCCCTGACATACAAACAGTTAAAATGTTAGATAACCTAGGGCTTTTAAATAACAGCACATGCATTGGTACACACACTGTAATATTTTGAGTTCACTTTTCACAGTTTGCATTGAATACAGAAATAACAGATCAACGCTAATGTAACAAAACTTTTACATCTCATAGCTATTCACTGGCAAACTCCCGGTGCTCTCTATTCTATGAGTGAAAACACTATTATTTACGGCTTACAGACTTATTGCAGCCGCGAGTTTTCACATGAACTACATATGCATTTTGATTAGGTATGTAATACTCATACACTGTAGAGCTCTGTATGGAGGAATGGGATGCTGAGAGAGAGAGAGAGAGAGAGAGAGCTATATTCTGCTTGAATAGCCATTTATTTGCAATTTATTATTACATAACTTATAATTTAATTTCTGTACAAAATACAGTACAGTGCATAAGAATACATTAAACAAATATAGTGCATAGGAATGTGCCATTAGATACCGGTGCTCTATAGACGTACCGGTGCTCCACTTACCGTCTTTATTCATAGCGGCGTCGAAGCACTTCTTGAGCCGACAGGCCCTGCATTGGTTGCGATGGGTTTTATCGACCGGACACTTGCCGTGAAGGTCTGCCTGCGCTTTGCACGTGTAGATCCGGTTCCGATGAATACTGCGCTTAAAAAATCCCGAACACCCTGGTCATAGTGGATTGAACATTCAATTTAGTTATATAAGAGTAGTGTGTATATCCTTGTTCATATGATAAAAATTATAAGTGTAATTTTATAAAACGTTAATAATTTCCACAAATTACATTACTATAATACTTTGCTAGGTGAGGTTTAATTAATTAACCTTATCTTATATTAATACTAGTATTATTGAAAATTTATAAAATATTAAGAGAATATTCTGTATAAATATAAAATCTGTAAAATATTTTATTTATTATATTCAAATATAATAAAGTGTAATATCTATTTAACTTTATAAAGTTAATTACACTAAAGTGATCTGGCTTACCGTCACAACTATAGATTCCGTAATGTTTGCCAGAACTGCGATCTCCGCACACTCGGCACGGTATGTCAAGTAGACGATCACCTATAGGGCACAGGGAGGTACAGGATTTTAATAGCATTCACACATTAGTCAATAATAAGGAAGTAATATAATTATTACTCACGCTTTTCCATAGGATGTGAAAACAGACTTTAATATACTAATCGGTGATCACCAATGCACTGGCAGTTCACCAAGCACATTGAAAACACCCGAGTGCACTCATAAACCAAAGTTTATTACAGATTTATATGACAATATAAATTTTCAAGAATATTCTGTTAAAGTTTTATTTATATTGTCAATATATTTGATATTAAACAGTTAGTACTGTAGTCAGTGGTCAGTAGTGGACAGTTAGGTAGTGTTTGGATGATTTACATCAGTCAGCAAAGTATGGGTCGGATGTGTGAACACAACACCAGAAAGTGATGACAAAAAGTTTGTGTTCAGTGTTTGTGTGATTTTGCTATCTGTTTGTGTATCTCATCGACGGCTACAGCCATCAACAGCACCGGGAGGTCACACACTTCGCACAAACATCGCACGCATCACCACATAATATATACTGTGCTCCAAGAGGTCTATTAGTTATGGGCACATCCCGGTGCTCTCATACAACACCAATATAAAAAGTATTCTATGAGATGATAGGATGGCACGCATGAGCTACCAGTGCTCTCTCTCTCTCTCTCAATGTTCAGTCATAATCATAGGCGTACAGTGAGAGCACCGGGAGCTTTGCGTTTACCATTATGTCACGAATGTGTAGCTATATTACAACGCAAAACAGTACATAGAGTGCCGTATTAGACAGTTTGGGAATGAGAGCACCTGTATGTGTGCGTTCACTGCCTAACTGTGATGCATGAGATAGCTTTGCCTCTCTCTCTCTCTCTCTCTCTCTCGCAATGTATGCCAACTAAACAGCCAGTACTCCGATGATGAGCTAATAGAGCCTACCGTTCCCTTTGATGGTTGTGGGGATCAACTACTTTGTTGAGACATAGATCAGCCGATTGTTAGCATCAATATATTATGTGCCTCTCTCTCACTCTCTCCTCCCTTTCCACTGCATTCCCGGTATTCAAAGACATGGCACCGTTGGCTCCTACAGAATGTCGGCTCTCTATAATACCCGGTAGTGTAAGTAATGCCCGTCAAGAGCACTGTTATGTCGAACTTTTTGCAACTCTCTCTCCAAGAATATTCTTTTCAATTAAAACATGAGTTTTATATAAGACTTATAGATGTGTAATATATTTAGTGAATACTAAATGCAATGCTTTTTATGCACTCAAACTCATCTTCACTTTAAACATACACTCACTTCAAAAACAATTAATATTTTACTTGAAGTTTGTTTTTCTGACAAAATATAAGTTTTTAGAGTATAATCTCTATGAAATCAGTAAATATTATAAGGATTTCGTAAAAAGTTAATGCAAAGTGTGTGTGTGTGTGTGTGTGTGTGTGTGAGAGAGAGCTGCAAAAAGTTCGACATAACGGTGCTCTTGACGGGCATTACTTACACTACCGGGTATTATAGAGAGCCGACATTCTGTAGGAGCCAACG